AGATAGCCCTGTCCTGGTGGTATTTTCAGTAGCCACTAACCTTGCTTGGTACAGTGTGGGGGTTGTAATAGGCGTGGAAGTTTAAAGCAGGTTCTTGCTGGTGCACAGCACAAATTAGTTATATATGGGGACGGTTTTTTCACCTTCAGTTGTCTCTGATGCAGCTTATATGAAATAATTGTTCTGTTAACTGAATACCACTCTGCAATTGCAAAAAAAAAAAAAAAAAAAAAGTTGCAGCTGTTTTGTTGACCTTCTGAATGCTTCTAAGTAAATACAATTTTTTTTTTATTAGTAAAAATTAAAAGAAAATGTGGAAGAATTCACGTCAGGCTGTGAACATGGGTGGGAGATTCTTATTTTTTATTCATCCTTGCATATTTTCACTTGCTATAAATAAATATTGCCTTTCTACAAAATGAAAAATTAAGCTAAAAAGAAGAAAAACTAAATGTGGCTGACAAGATTGACCAACACTCACATCTCTCACTCCCAAACTCCACACACGTTTCCTAAATGCTTGATTTTCAAAAAGTTTCCTATCCATAGGATGTCCCAGAAGAAGCCCAGTTTCCTTTCTGACTTTTCAACGATTCTGAATTTCTCAGTTTTGGACACTAGACTCCACTTCATGGGCACTCTTCTGTTATACATATTAAAGTTTAAATGTGTCCACCATGCACAAGTGTGACTTTTCCCTCTTCAGGAAAACACTCACCTCAGCTGAGCCACAAATGAAAACTCTGTGGAACCCACACGAGTGCAATACCAGGGGACAGAAGCGTGCAGCACGAACGCTATCCAAAGAGTACAGAGGAAACATGAGCACAGGAGCACTTCTGCTGCTTCAGTGGCTCTGACTTGGCTGAACAGCAGAATCACCTGGGAAGCATTTTTAAAAATATCTGGGTGCCTGGGTGCCACTTCCAGAGTCTAACTGAGTTGGCATGGGCACAGGTACTGCTCTGCTGTAAAAGAACCAACATGGTTCGGACGCATAGTCAGAGTAAGAACCACTGCCTCTTACACTTCACCCTTCTCTTCTTCCATCTTTTCTGAGAGCCTTTCTTTATCAGTTATTTTAACTGTCTTTTATTTTAACTCCTATTTTAACTGTTATATTTAACAGCTTTATTTTAAAGCTACTAGATCCATTTGGAAAAGCCAAAATCTATCAAACCAGCTAATGACTGTACACCATCCATCACTGACATTGTTCTTACGCTGACTTTTGATGCCCGACTTAAAGTCACTTAAATTTATGGCTGTCACAGTTAGGAGCCCTTCACATGTCAAAAGAATATTTGTAGCCTCACCTGAATAATGATTTACCACCCTATCACTAGCCAATGACTTCATAAAACATCTTAGGACCCCAGACATTATGTTGTAAAATAAAAGTGTCAATACTGCTCTACCAATTAGTTGAAATGCTGCTGGGGGCCGGCCGGTGGCGCACTGCTACAGTGCGCCACTTGGGAGCGCGGCGGCGCTCCCACAGAGGGTTCGGATCCCACATATAGACCGGTTCCCGCTCACTGGCTGAGCGAGGTACGGGCGCAACACCGAGGGTTGCAATCCCGTTGCCGGTCCCAGTCCGGTATGGGCGCAACACTGAGGGTTGCGATCCGTTGCCAGTCATGAAAAAAGACAAAAAGGAAAAAAAAAAGAAATGCTGCTGGACATTAGTCAATTAATGAACATCCTGACCCTTTGTGCTAATCTTTATAACTATGTAAAAAATTCAACATCTACCACATTGCAAATTAATGAAAAGAAAACCATTACCTGAAATATTTCTTCCGTTCAAATTTAGTATCCAAGAACAGTAATATTCCCCACAAGAAAAATGCCAATAAAATATGAAAGGGGGTTCATTAACAAAATGAATACTTATTTAGTACACATGTTATATTACAGTGTGCAAAAGATAGGATTCTGTACTTTGGATTCATGCTGCAAATTATACAGAAAGATATTGTAAAACAAAGGGAAATGTATATTATTTATAACGGTTGGCATGAAGAAATAACTGCTTTTGCATACTGTCGCTACAAGTGCTGACTGCATTAGCACATATTTTCAAAGAAGCCTACAATGGTCCATTAAAAAGCTTGATCTAGCAATTGCATTCCCATAGAAGTGAAAACATAGGTCCACACAAAAACATGTGCACAAATGTTCACAGCAACTTTATTTGTAATGGCCCCAAACGGGAAACAACGCAAATGTCCTTCAATGGACAAATGGTTGAACTGCAGTACATCATATCATGGATTACCACTCAGCAATACAATGGCAGGAGCTACTCACACATGCAGCTTCAGTGGCTCTCAAGGACATTATGTCAAGTCGAAAAGGGCCAATATCACAGGTCACACACTTCATGATTCCATTTATATAATATTCTCAAAATGACAAAATTATACAGATGGAGAACAGATTGGTGGTTATTGGAGGTTGGAAGATGGTGGCCATAAAGGGGTAGCAAGTGGGAAGCCTGGGGGTGAGGGGTCAGTTCCGTGTCTTGGTTGTGGTGGTGGGTTACACAAATCTACACATGTGATCAAGATGCACAGAACTATCTCACACACACACACACACACACACACACACACAGGAGGGCGAGGAAAACTAGTGAAATCTGAACAAGCTCTGTGAGTAGCTCCAGTGGCAGTTTTCTGGTTCTGATCCTGTACTACAGTCACCTCTGGGCAACACTGAGTGGATGGGGCACCAGACCTCTCTGTACTGCTTTTGCCACTTCTTGTGAATCTGTAACCACTTTAAAACAGAAAGTTAAAAAAAAAAATATTTGGGGAAAATGTGAAGCGGGTCACTTATTTAGGATACAGAAACCATTTTTCTTAATCTCATTAAAGGAAGAAACATGTAAAGGGGAAAGAGGCAAACAGACCGCTAGAGAGAAAGGTGGCGGAGCGGCAGCTGCAGAGTGCCTGTGGCGCGCCGGTGCTACCCATCAGTGAGTTCAACGATGATAAATTCAATCACACTCACACAGCTGGTAAGCAGCAAAGGTGTCAAAATTAAGAAAAGTAATACAACTTCAAAGCAAAGAAGAAGAAAAAAGTATTATTGGATCAAGAAGGGGTTTAAAAAGTAGCTTAAAATACATAGTGTATGTGAAATGCTACAGAGCTAAACATGAAATATACCCACATTCACAGCACTCTGTACTGAATACCACCTCTTCCTAGAACCTAAAATCCATAATACACATTTGCCTCGGGATAACTGAACATGCTTGACCAGGGAGGTATTTGAAACTGGTTTTTATTAATCTTTTAACTTAACAAGAAGAAAATTAACATTGATTTCTCTTCTTTTGAGTTGTTCACTGAATGGAAATAAGTAAATAAAGGTGAGCCCAAATTCAAAAATAATATAAATAGGACACTCAAAATGGAAGAGAAGTACAGCTGACTGACTGTAGCAAAGCCTGTTCAGGAAAGAGAAGGCGAAGGCGTGGGCAGGGCAGCCGCAAGGCAGGCTGGGACGGCCACGACTGCATGCAAGGAACAGCACTGGTCAGCAGGACAAAAACTCATTTGCAATAAAATGGTTTCAAATAAAATCACATAGGTAAAACTGGTTTCAGTCTCAGAAAACTCAACAGGAAAATTTCAGCCCTCCTGTATCATCTCGTCTCTAATTCAGATCACTGGACATTTTAACAGCATGTCAAAAACAGAGACAGTTCTAGGATAAATTCAATGCAAGTAAATGGGTATTTAAAAGGAAGTTTGCTATTCTGGTTGTAAAACCTCTGAGACAGGGCTGTTTTTCTAGAGAGAAATAGCACCATACTTAATTTTAATCACTATGTGAAACCCCAAGAAAATACAATATTTAAAAAATTGGGAGTATTAATCACCCTTTTAAGTTGTAGACAGTTGAGCAATCCAGTTAATGTGCTCTTTGAAAAAGTCAGAGTAACTGCTGTCCCCTTGGCCCTCAGGATCATTTCTGCTCTCCAGTCAGCTTCTGAATGGCAGAGGTGAGTGCAGCAGCGACGTCAATGCTTGTTTTCTCTGAAGCTTTGTCAAGTTCCAACCAGGAAATAACATGCAGGAATCTTACTTGCCATTCAACAGTCTCTCCACAGAAGGTCTGGAGTGGAATGGCCACACCACTATAATACCATCCACGGTGTCAGCTAATATGGTAACATCTGAAAAAGAATTGTCACATGTCCCTGGAACGTCTTCCTCACGCACAGGTAACATAAGAGTTAATTAGGGTGGAAAAAACAAATATATACAGTAAGGAGACATCTGCCATACATTCTTTATGCATCCCTCTGCTTCTGAAAAACTCACATAAGAGATTAATTTATTTCTTCTGGGTAAGACCCTCAGACATCAGATTTTGATAAAAGCCATAACCTAGGCCATTCTGGCCAGCGGACAGAATCTCTTCCTAATCCCTGGGCGATTATACCAAGGAACTATATTCTCAGTAAAGCCAGATTCCAACTCATGGTGAATACAAATATTATTAAGTTTCTAAAACTAAATATCCTTGAATAGAAATGTTTTCAGGGGAGAGAAAATCAAGATGGCAGAATAGACAGTCCTCAGTGTCACCCTCTCCCACAATCCACCAATTTACAACTATTAAAAGGCAATGACAGCCAAGTTGGGGCCACTAGAGCTCAGGGGAAGAGGAGGAGAGACCTACAGAGTTCATGAAGGCGGGAGAAGCCACAATGAGAGAGAGAAAGGACCACTCCTACCATTTCAAGCCCCGGCCACTTCAAGGCTGGCCCTGGTGAGCGCTTGGAGCAGGAGCCAGCAAAAGCCGCGGCTGTGCTCTTTGGATGGAGTTGCTTGGAGACTGCAGGAGAGGGAGAGGGCCTTTGTGGCCCTCTAACAGGGGGGGCCACAGACAACCACTAACAGGATTCCCGAGGACGCAAATAGGAGCAAGGGGCCACAGACAACTGAAAAAAGGAGCCGCTCAAAGGCTGGTGAGTCATAGCAAGAGGCCGAAGTGTTTGGAGTGCAGGCGGTGGGGGAGACGGTACACCATGGGAACATTAGGCACAGCATGGACATCTGATCTGCCCCCCAATCAGCACAGAACCACTCAGTGGAGACTGGTCAGGAATACAGAACTGCAGGGGGTACAGTTTGCTGAAAAGACTCAGGCCCAGACCAGAGTTTCCACACAACCCAGGTGTATAGGACCTCACAAGACCCAGAAGTGCTTACAAGGTCAACCACTAAAACCTGAGCTGCTCAACTTCATAACTATATAGTCTTCTGAAGATTGCTTATCACAGTATTGTCTATAAAAGTGAAAAAATCTCATACCTAAATTATCGTCAATAAGGAATTGGTTAAATATATTACGGTACATTCTTACAATGGAATACCATGCAGCTATTTAAGAAATGAAGACATAAACCCACAATGACAGGGGTATAGCAAAGGGACACAGGAACCAACTGAAAGAGTGCCCAATGGCCAAAGCTGGAACAATTTCAGCAATAAAGTATTACTGGATTACAACCCAAACTATAAATAAACACCCACTAGTTTATACTAATACAAATGATTGAATGTGGGAGGATAGCATTAGTTCCAGTGCAGAGTTTAAGTGATGGGAACAGCAAATAATCCAACACAGAACTGAAAGAAAAACAAAATACCCACAGACCAGAGACAAAGTTTGATATTAAACAGTAAAGGTCTAACACCACCAAAGAACACCCATAAAACCTGACAGGGCCGGAAGCTCCACAGGCCAATGAGCCTGGGGGTGGGGGTGCCAAGGGCCTCAGCCACGCCCCCTGACACTTGCATCCAGCCCAGTGACAACCAACCCACCTCCAGAAACCCCCCAGGCTCTCAAGCTGGAATGAGGGGAGCCTGTAGGCCTCAGCCACGCCCCCCTGCTCTCTGTAACCAGAACAGCCCCAGCCCCCCACCTCCACATGTTTCCCTACCCCTCCCACCTGCCTCTCCCACTGATCAGCAACACCTTTGAATATAAAAAAAAATAATAAATTAATTTTAAAAATAAATAAAAACAAATGTTTTTAAGATGTGATAATGGTATTGTGATTACACTTTTTAAAAAGTTTTTTTGGGCTAGCCAATTGCCTCAATGTAAAGCACGGTGCTGGTAACACCAAAGTCAAGGGTTCACATCTCCATACAGACCAGCTGTCAGATAAAAAAAAATAAACAAGTTTTTCCCTTTGGAATATATTCAAATATTTATAGATAAAGTGATTTAATATCTGGGATTTGCTTCAAAATAATATGGTGGGGGGAGTGGGTAGGAGTTTTAAACAAAATTGGCTACAAATTGATAGATAATTCTGGGTTATAGGGACATGGGGATTAATTATACTATTTTGTCTTCTTTGGTATATGTTTGAAATTTTCCAACATAAAAAGTTTTGCATATCCTCGCATGGGAAATAAAATATACCCACGTAGCAAGGAATTCTGAGACTTATGCAGCAATCCAGATTCTTGAACGCTTCTGCTACTGCATAATCCCAGGCAAATCACCATATACCCACGTAGCAAGGAATTCTGAGACTTATGCAGCAATCCAGATTCTTGAACGCTTCTTCTGCTACTGCATAATCCCAGGCAAATCACCCCACCTAATAATAAATAACAGTTTCCTATTTTTAAAATTCAGGGCTAGAACATCATGATTTCCAAGATCACTTCCAGGTCCAAAGATTTTACTCTGAGGATGTCGTTTCGTTTGTTCTGAATTGAATGTAAATTCATCTTCTGTTAGTTGTCTATAGTAACCATTTCTACACTGAGATGGCGCAAGTGTCTCAAGACCCTGAGTTATCTCAAAGCAGCTCTTCAGGGCCACTGGTGCCACACCCCCCATCAGCCCCAACCACAGGTAAAAAGGGAAAGGAAGAGACAACTGTGGTGACAGACACAGCTCTAGTTTCCACAGACAAGAGGAAAATGCTCACTCCTCAGAAATCTGCTTTAGTATCCTGAAGAGTCACATGTCACATAAAATGTAAAATGGGCAGAGCCTCTAATACAGCAACTTTCCCTGAGCGCCTTACCAAACAATATTTTCATAACTATATAGTCTTCTGAAGATTGCTTATCACAGTATTGTCTATAAAAGTGAAAAAATCTCATACCTAAATTATCGTCAATAAGGAATTGGTTAAATATATTACGGTACATTCTTACAATGGAATACCATGCAGCTATTTAAGAAATGAAGACATAAACCCACAATGACAGGGGTATAGCAAAGGGACACAGGAACCAACTGAAAGAGTGCCCAATGGCCAAAGCTGGAACAATTTCAGCAATAAAGTATTACTGGATTACAACCCAAACTATAAATAAACACCCACTAGTTTATACTAATACAAATGATTGAATGTGGGAGGATAGCTGTATCTCCTGTGCAGAAGAATTCCAAATAATTTACGTAGGCGCTCTGCCCCCAAGGAGGTGGAGCCTAACTCCATACTCTGCAAGTGTGGGCTGACTTCCTTCCCAAGAATGCAACACAGAAAGGAGGAAAAGAGTAACTTTACCGTGGAGACACCTAACACACACTACCCCAGCCAGGCGATCCAGGTCACCTCCATTGGGAGTACCGTTGAAACGATTTTTGTCTCTGTGGTTTTCCTCCCCAAAGCCTAACCCCAGTCTAACCATGAGAAAAACAGCAGACAAATCCCAACTGAGGAACCCTCTACAAAATATCTGACTAGTACACCTCAAAACTGTCAAGGTCATAAAAAAAGAAGGAAAGTCTGAGACACCATCACAGCCAAGAGGAACCTACAGAGATAGGACAACTAAGTGTAATGCAGTGTCCTGGGTGGGATCCTGAAACTGAAGAAAGACATGACGTAAAAACTAAGGAAATCTGAATAAAGCATGTACTTTAGCTAATACTAATATATCAATATTGGTTCCTTAATTTTAACAAATGTATGATACTAAGGTAAAATGTTAAAACTGGATGTGGAGTATATGGGAACTCACTATACTAACTTTGCAACTTTTCTGTAAATCCAAAACTTTTCTAAAAGAAAAAATGTATTTTTTAAAAAATGGAAAAAAAATTTTAATGAAGATATAAACTTATGACATGAAATGATGGCCAAAATATAACAGGTAAAAGAGCAGTTATAAACAACAGGCATGTTATGAACCTATTAGTGTTTAAAAACATATGTATATGTATTTATACCCCCAAAAGTCAGGAAGACTATAAATCAAAATGTGAACCTCAGAGGGAGAATATTAGTGACTTTCACCACTCTCTTCTTTATACCTTTCTGTATTTCTGATTGTTTTTCCACTAAACATTGATTACTCTTAACTGAGCCTCATTACTTTTATAATCAGAAACAAAGTTATTTTATTTTGAAAAAGAAATAGGTGTGCACATAGGATTGACAGAGCGCTCCTTAGCTCAGAATAACTTGCATTTATAAAACAGCCAAAATTTACCTTTTCAAGGGGAAATATTTTAAAAAGGCAATATAGAAAAGAGGGTGAAAGCATGGGATTTATTTTTACTTTTTTTTGGTAGAACAAATCATCATACTTTATTATTTCTTGTGAACAAAATACTTTCCAGAGTACAGCACTGTAAAAATTAATAGTGGAATCAGTGGAAATGATGAATAAAAATTAAAAAAAATTTTTTTTTCCTTTTTGTCTTTTTTCGTGTCCGGCAACGGATCGCAACCCTCAGTGTCACACCCGTACCGGACCGGGACCGGCAACGGGATCGCAACCCTCGGTGTTGCTCCCGCACCTCACTCAGCCAGTGAGCGGGAACCGGTCTGTATGTGGGATCCGAACCCTCGGCGGGAGCGCCGCCGCACTCGCAAGCAGCGCACTGTAGCAGTGCGCCACCGGGCCGGCCCAAATCAAAAATTTTTAAGGTGATAATTTCTCAGAAATGTATGCCTTCAGGTCAGTGAAAATTATCTATAAGCAATTGGTCTTGGAAAAACATATTTTTGAAGAACGTGAGAGTGACCTATTGTGAATGAATGAAATACATTTCTCTAGCTGAACTGAAAATAGGTACACATCTATTGCTAAATTCTAATAACCCTCTTATTCACTTTTTAAAAACTTACATATAGTAAAATTTCCAGTGATCTTTTGAACTTGCTACTTTCCCAGAATTTACATA